AATGAGTGGTTTCTTTCTGTCGTCTGCCGTATTGGAATCCACCAGAGGTGGGGGAGGAATAATTAGTCACTACCAGGACCTATTTTGTATTCATACTCACATTTTTGTATGAGAGGGCTGAATCCTGGCCCCTCTTTTCTACTAGCATGGCTGGTCAGTGCTGTCCACCTTATGACTGTATTCATCCCATGACTCCCAGATTCCATGTCTCCCTGTTTGCCCCAAGTCACTGCTTTCTCTGCCTGTCTGTATGGCCTGTGAGTTTGTGACATTCCTCCTCTCCCACTCCATAGTTCTGTCAGTTTCTTAGTTTCTTTGTAGTTTTCTAGTTTTCCTTCAGCTCCCCTAATTCCTGGAGATCTATTTGTTTTTGTTTTTATTCTTCACCAAGCTGTTTTGCGGGTATCTTGATTCCTGATCTTGGAGAGGCTATATTTTGCTGCCAATATTTATTCTATTATTTTTATTCTCCTGATTTCTCTATTTTAATCACACATCATTAAATTTGTTTTGTGATTATTTCCAGTTACTGATTTTGATTAGATTTTGTGTGGTACTAAATTTTTCAAAAGACCTCCTTATCCTCTGCTATATAGGTACATTGTAATTATATTGTAGTTTAGACTGAATTCTTAAAGAATGTTGAAAAATTTTCTAACACATACTTTAATGTGCTTTCAGTGTACAGTGGCATCTCAGTTCATAATGCTTCTGTTTGCAAACTGCATCAGGTGACAGACATGACTGCAGCCATCTTCCCTGCAGGAACATGAATGGGCTCATCTTCTCCAGAATTGTGGAACGAATTAAGTCTGTGAACTGAAGCTCCACTGTATCTTTTTAAACTATAGGTCTTGATTCTATAGGTTTAGGGTGGATTCAGAGATTTTGTATTTCTAAAAAGTTCACAGGTAATAGTGTTTTTGGTTCACCATACCACATATTGAATAACAGTAGTGTAGAGGATAATAAAGAGAGAAAAATGAGTAATTGCCTATAGAATCAAAAGGTTTTAGGAATGAAGCATAAAGTTCTGGTTATTAAAGAATTTTTGTATTTTTCAGTTCTGATAGAAATACCTGTATGAGTATAAAATAGTGCTTTAAAGTGTAAATTTGTCTATTTACCTTGTTTTCTTTTTCTGTTTATCAAAAGAAGATCGAAAATGGTATATACTTTAGGCTTTTGAAGTTAGGTGTTTTGTTTTGTTTTGCTTTGTTTTTTTGAGACAGGGTCTCACTATGTAGCTGAGACTGACCTGGAACTCACTATATAGCCCAGGCTGCCGGTCTCAAACTCACAGCAATCCTCCTGCCTCAGACTCCTGAGTGCTAGGATTGCAGATGTGTGCCACCACGCCCAGCTCCAATTAGTTTTAAGGATGTTTTTGATCCCTAAATGTGAAAATTATCTCACTTTTTTTTTAACCTCCTCAATTTTGTCTTTCTTACTTATTTTTGTTTTATTTTTGAGACAGGTTGTTACTATGTATCCAGACTAGACTTGAATTCATTGTGTAGCCCAGACTAGTCTCAGTATTTTTTTTCCCCCTTGGATAGCAGTTTTATAGCCTCAGGCTTTCTGCCTCAGCCATTTGAGTGCTGGAATTACAGATGTATGCCACCATACCTAGACCAGTTTTTGAAAAAGTTCAGATCTCCATTAGAAAACTTGTACAGTCCAATGAAAACTCATACTGTACACGTATTAACATTTTGCAACCTTTGTTTTCTCTTATTTCTTTTTTCCCCAGATTTTTTTTTCATTAATTGTATTTGGCCTATAAGTCTGCATTATAATCAAAAGGTTGGTTACAATGTGTGGAATTTTTAAAAAGGAAATATGATTCAAAAATTCAGTGATTTTTAGGTGAAGGCTGTGAGCTCTTTAAAATGCCCAACTCTCCTGTATCACCTAAATATTGTCTATAGTGTAAACAAATCCAACAATACCTTTGTATTTCTCTTAATTTTGATTTCATAGGCCTAGACATTTTAATTTTGAATGGAAGCAATAACTAGGGATAAAAGCATGCATTTGTTAAGCAAAATATGGTTAGTATTAAGTTAGTTGCTCATGTGCCAACCTCTCCTGAAGGTTGGGAATTAGACAAGTAAATTTTTGGGCTAAGACACCCCATCCTGATGTGCCTAAAAAGACACTACCATTTGTCATGATAGACATCTATAGCTGTGTGACAAATTATAGGTTGACTATCCCTTATCCAGGATGCTTGAGAAAGACCAGATGTCTTTCAAATGTGAGGGGTTTTTTAGATTGTAGAATATTTGCCTAGACATTACCAGTTAAGCATCACTAATCTAAGAAATCTGAAATGCTCTAAAACAATGAAAAAATTTTGAGTGTCATTTTGACGTCCAAAAAATTTCACAATTTTGGATTTTAGATTAGGGTTGCCAAATCTGTGCCACAAATGTAGCATTTTAAAATATATGTATTTTACATGTATTTTCCAACCATTTCTGTGGGTCAGCAGTCTGGGCATGGTTAACTTAATCCTCTGCTCAGCACTGTAAACACAGAAAAGAAATAAATGTGGATATAGTAATATATATATATATATATATA